TTGAACTCCTGACCTTGAGCAATCCGCCCGCCTCGGCCTCCCAAGAGCTAGGATTACAGGCATGAGCCACAGCGCCCGGCCTGGTGTCTTCTTTATGAAACTAGAATAAAAGCTTCATAAACAAAAAGATGCTTTGTAATTTAATGAAAAATTTGTTATTTTTTAATTGTTTTCTGTATGTGAGTTAGATGCAACTTGAAAAATAGCTCTCACAGCTCCCAGGGCGAAGAGACGTGTGAGTTACATATGCTTCACTCGGCCCCGGGCTCAAAACGAGCGCGAGTTAAATACAACTCACATGGCAGTTCGTGTGTGGGAAAGGACCCATGGAGAATTTTTTTTTACAAAGAAAATCCACAGGCAAAGTGCATTATGGGGGCAGCGTATTTTACTTGGTAATCTTGCAAAGACATGTGTTATGAACCACGGAACTAATCCCGTTCTTCCTTGAGGAACAGCGGCAAGAAACACCAAGCAAAGTTTAATCTTAGGCTAATGCTAGATCGCAAGCACGCCACATCCTATTACTTGCCAAGTAGTTTAGGTACTTTATTAGTAAGGGGAGATTAATACAGTAAGTTATATTGAATTAAAAGAAAATTCATTGTGAAAATTAATCTATGGGGATTGGGGACTGAAATGAGGTAGGCAGGAATAGGGTAGAAGTTTCTGGGGTGAGGATAATGTTCTATGTCTGGATAGGCATTTGGGTTATGCAAGTGTAAGCACTTGTCGAAACTCGGTGTGTGTATGCTTATCTGTGAGTTTCATTGTGTATAAACTTAACTTCAAAAAAAACCAAAAAGGCTGGGCGTGGTGTCTCATTCCTATAATCCCAGCACTCTGGGAGGCCGAGGTGGGAGGATCGCTTGAACTCAGGAGTTCGAGACCAGGCTGAGCAAGAGTGAGACCCTGTTTCTACTTAAAATAGAAAAATTAGCTGGGCATGGTGGTGTGCACCTGTAGTCCCAGCTACTCGGGAGGAGGCCGAGGCAGGAGGATCGCTTGAGCCCAGGACTTGGAGGTTGCTGTGAGCTAGGCTGACGCCACGGCACTCCAGCCTGAGCAACAGAGTGAGACCCTGTCTCAAAAAATAAAAACTGGCATAAAATAAATAGGAGAGAAGGCACACAAATTCATTTCACATGCATACACAGGAGCCTCAGACCCAAGCTCTCAAGGCGTTTGAAGAAGTGTATATACCATCTTGAAGTTGCAGGAAAAAATGCAGGCTCCGAGCATGGCCAAAAAAGCAGGTGAAGTAGGTAAGTCAGGTTTTAGTGACAAGACAGGTTAAGGGGGTGAGAGACCAGGAGACCAGCAAAGGAGGTCTTGTGCACATGAAATCCCCCAGGCAGCAGCCCCCAGAGAGAATAGGTGCTAAACGTCTCTTTCCAGTCCTTTAAGAGTGCCAGACTCTCAGCTCATGTTTCCTAGATCCAGTGGGCTGTCTGCATTAATGTCGAGTTGTTTTTTTTAATAGACGTTACATTTCACCCACGCAAGACGCCTTCGCAGGGCCACTTGTGTCCGCTGGCACTCCGGTACCATCTCTAAATATGTCAGAGGAACACATCTTGGGGTCAAACAATTCGATTTCCTTTGCCATCCACACACGTGTGCAGACCACATGGTTTCGTCTGTCTCCTGAAACAGGCTCGCGTCTGGCTTCGTAGCTAGAGGCTACGGAGATGCTAGCAGAATCCTAGAAGATTCTTCTAGATTCTAGAAGAGATTCTAGAAGAATCCAGAAGAGATTCTAGAAGAACCTAGGAGGTGCTAGAGGAGATTCTAGAAGAACCTAGGAGGTGCTAGAAGAGATTCTAGAAGAACCTAGGAGGTGCTAGAGGAGATTCTAGAAGAACCTAGGAGGTGCTAGAGGAGATTCTAGAAGAACCTAGGAGGTGCTAGAAGAGATTCTAGAAGAACCTAGGAGGTTCTAGAAGAGATTCTAGAAGAACCTAGGAGGTTCTAGAAGAGATTCTAGAAGAGCCCTTCCTCCTCCTCTTTAAGGGAGAGTTGAGCTTTCCACCGCGGTGTGACTAACGCCCTGTTTGCTCCCAACAGGCCAAGGAGACTTTGACCTGGCAGATGCCCTGGATGACCCTGGTAAGTGCGGAAACCTCGCCGCTAGCAGCACGCACTGCCAGTTGCTTCGGGGTTGGACCTGCCGTATCCAGAATTCCCTGGCATCTGGGGCATCTCTGCTCTTCCCCGGCGGCAGCCCTCTCTGCACAGCCGCTGGAAGGTCTCCATGCCAAAGTCCCCCACTGCCGTGCGGGGCGGGGTCTCGTTTCTTGGTGGCTCTGTGTCACCCAAGCTCGTGGTCCGGGGACACTCTGGAGGTTTTTGCTTCTTACGCACTTCAGTCTCTGTCTGTCCCCGTCTCACGCCTGGACCGCAGTGACTGAACGGGTTGCAAAGCCCCCTCACAGAGCACGACCTGGGACACTCTTGCTCTCATGGGGCCACCTCTGCTCAGGGGGGTCCTCTGCTTTCTCCTCCAATGTCACGCACAACCCGAAATCCTCCCACGTCTCAGTTGTCACCACTCCACGTGCAGATAGGACCTTTCGGGCTAACCAGGAAGCTGAGCACCGGGCTCTTTGGTGGCTGTACAGCCAGGTGTGGCCCCCAGCTGTCCGGAATGCTCTCTGCTGAGCTGTCCCTGCTGGGGCTGTCCACGTGGCCCCAGGGCACACTTGCTTGCCGTGGCTTTTAACGCTACTTTTTTTTTTCTTCTGGATACAAAATAGAATTTGTGCTCTTATCGATTCACTTTTATTACACTGCCATTCCCTTTTCATTTCTCGTTAGGGCCTAAATGGCCTTTCTTCGAGCTGCCCGTGAAATGTTGATGCGTATTGAATTTATTGTCTGTTTTTGTTCACAGAACCCACCAAGAAGCCAAACTCAGGTGAGTGACTCCTTGCTTGGCTGGGCACGGAGGAGGTAATGCCTTCAGACTGAGGTTTTTGGAGGGATGAGTGAGGATGTTTTACAGGGTCCTGGGGACGTTAGTAGACGTTTAAAGCAAATGGTGATCCGTTAAGGAAATGCAAATGGTGATCGTTAAGGAAATGCAAATTGCAAGCACAATGAGATGCCACTTCACACCCTCTGGGATGTTTCTAATCAAAATACAGAAAATGCTAAGTGTTGGAAAGGTCACGAACAAATTGGAATGCTTGTACATTGATGGTGGAAATGCAAAAAGGGTGCATTTTGGCCCCTGTGGAAAACGGTTCAGCAGCTCCTGGAAAAGTTAAAGATGGAATCTTTAACTTGCTTTCTAGAGGTTGTGCTAGCTTGCAGTCCCACCAGCAATTCCTCAGTGCACACCTGAGGTCTATGGCGACCTTCACGTGAATAATTGTTCTCCTCCGTTACATCTGCCGTGGGTGGCCAGACAGCCACGAGGTTCTCTCCAAGAGTCAAGCTCGTGGATGAATTTCATCTTCCTTCTTGTGTGCTCCTTATGGGAATGGACGATTCCAGGGCTGGGAGCAGGGTGGGTCCAAGATATACCTGGAATATCTCGGTATGCTGGAAAATGATGGCATGCCCCAGAAACGCCTGTAATCCCAGCACTCAGGGAGGCCGAGGCAGGAGGATCGCTTGAGGTCAGGGGTTCGAGACCAGCCTGAGCAAGAGCGAGACCCCCCCCTGTCTCTACTAAAAATAGAAAGGAAAAAAAAAATTGGACGGGCAACTAGAAATATAAAAAAATTGGCCGGGCATGGTGGCGCATGCCTGTAGTCCCAGCTACTCTGGGAGGAGGCTGAGGCAGGAGGATCGCTTGAGCCCAGGAGTTGAGGGCTGCAGGGAGCTATGATTTCACCCACCACTGCACTCCAACCTGGGAAACAGAGCCAGGTTCTGCCTCCAAAATAAATAAATAAACAAATTGGTTACTAAATAGAGGTCAGGAAGGGCTAAAAACAAAAAAAGAAAATAATAAGAAGGAAGTAGTAGCGATGGCATGCTATGACGTAGATGTAAAAATGATGTAACAACTGTGTCAAAAGACAGAGGTTACATGCAGCGATTTAAAACCAGTTCTACGCCATTTGCAAGGGGAAGCGTTGGAAGTGAAATGCCCCCAGAGAAGGTGCAAATAATCGGTCGGGAAAAAGATGCACAAGGCCAGTGCTCATGAAAAGAACGTGGCATCGGGGCAGCCGTGTCAGACAAAATAAGGTTTGAGGTACCAGCAGGGCGGGGGGGAGGAAGAGTTTCTACTTAGCGATCGGACAGCCCGTCCTGGAAGGATGAGGCAACCTCCTCCTCCTCCCTCCTGCTCCTCAAGTTAGGTTGAAAGCGGAAATCGAAAAACCCCAAGTGTGAGGTTTTCAAAAGCCGTTCCCCAGAAATATCGGGGCTGGCAGGTGGAAATATTGTTAAGCATAAAGATATGGATAACTCAAGTAAAAAGCCGATTTGATAGAAATTTGCAATCCCTGAACCAACATAGAGAGAATGTGCATCACGTTTATGCACCCATGGTATGGTAACAAGACTGACCGCACAGATGGTCCACAGATACCATTTATTTATATAGACACGTTGGTTCTATGCATAAAATAAAGAAAAACATACGAATCAAAAACACATACGGCTGCACAGGATGTGGGAAATCATAATTCTTGTTTCATGTCTATCATCTTTGCCCAAGCATAGCCTTGCTGTATTTTAATTCATTTAATGATGCATTAAAGCACAAGAACTAGCACTTTGCAGTGACAAGTGTCTGTCTGCCTCTGACGGTTTCTCACCCCTCTGTGTCTCCATCAAAGGTGTGCACTGTCCTGAATTCTGTGGGGGTTATTTCCTTCCCTCCCTCCTTCCCTCTTTCCCTCCCTCCTTCCTTACCTCCCTCCTTCTCTCCTTCCTTCTCTCCTTCCTTCCTTCCCTCCCTCCTTCTTCCTTCTCTCCTTCCTTCCTTCCCTCCCTCCTTCCTTCCCTCCTTCCCTCCCTCACTCCCTCCTTCCTTCACTCTTTCTTTCCCACCCTCTTTCCCTCCTTCTCTCCCTCCTTCCCTCCCTCTTTCCTTCCTTCCCTCCTTCCTTCCTTCCCTCCTTCCCTCCCTCCTTCTCTCCTTTCTTCCTTCCCTCCTTCCTTCCTTTTCTCCTTCCTTCTTCTTCTTCCTCCTTCTTCCCTCTCTTCCCTCCTTCCCTCTCCTTCCTTCCCTCCTCCTTCCTTCCCTCGCTCCCTTCCTTCCCTCTCCTCCTTCCTTCCTTCCTCCTCTTTCTCTCCTTCCTCCTCCTTCCTTCCTCTTCTTCCTCCCTCTTTCTCTCCTTCCTTCCTCCTCCTTTTCCCTCGCCTCCTTTCCTTCCCCCTCTCCTTCCTTCCTCCCTCCTCTCCTCTCTCCTTCCTTCCTTCCCTCCCTCTTTCTCACTCCTTCCCTCTCCTTCCTTCCCTCCTTCTCTCTCCCTTCCTTCCTCCCT